AGAACCTCACTTCTTCAGATGCATCTGAAGAAGTGAGGTTCTTACCCACGAAAGCTTATGCTCCCAGTACTTCTGTTAGTCTCAAAGGTGCCACAGGACCCTCTGTTGCTTTTTACAGATTCAGACTAACACGGCTACCCCTCTGATACTTTAATTGCAGCGTAGACATACCCTCACTTTTTCCCCTGACAACCTTCCATTGAACAGGAGGGATGCAAAGTAAAAATCTGTTAACAACCACAAGGTCTGAAGGATTCTTTGTTCTTTATCATTGTGGCTCTCCTGGTGAGGGTGGTGTTTGCACATGAGTTTGTGACCCTCTCCACTGGATTACAGTAGTCCTTTCAATTGGATTACGAGGGACTGGTATTATAATAATAGATCCTTGTGTTGCTAAACACCTAGCAGTACATTGGGCTGCTTCCTTTTATGGTGCTTCATTTTGGTGACTTTTTTTCATCGGTGAATGACTTCAATTTAAGCTTGCAGTTTTTTAATAATGCATCAGATACATTACTTCATCACCTGTGTGTGTACATGTGCACACTTGGTTCACTTGTGAAAAATGTGAAAACAGAGTTGAATAGTTCTGGATTTCTCTTTAAGAAGAGGTTAAACTAGACTTTGAGTACTAATAGCGATACTATCTCGATATCTCAGAGTCAATATAAAGGATACTTTTAAAGCGGATGGGGGGAGGCACTTTTTATGAACACTGAATGAATGTCTCTATTTGAGTTTATTTTGCAGCATAGAGGAAGAAAGAGCCCATTTTTGGTTTGTTTCAAATGTATTAATACATATTGGTCAGTGTTTGCAATCTGTTTTGCTAATTGTTCTGTTCTAATAGTTTATTTTTCTCTTCCTGAAAAGAGAGAAATCATTTTTAAACAAAATTGTGTTTCACCAGACATTTGAAGGTCCACAGAGCACAGAAGAAATATGTATATACCATTCTGGAGTACCTATATTCCACGAAGGGTTAGTATTATGCAATTAATAGAATTTGCTTACATAAATTCTCTATAATCACTCTTTCTAAATACATATGCAGTTGGTTATTTTTAAAAGGAAAGATGTTTACACTGTTAAAACTGTTTATAGTGCTAAATGTTTCTAAATATTTGACTTGTGTATGTATTATGGCTAAGGTTAATACTTTTTGTTGTGGTTATTTTTAGTGAAAGTCAGGGACAGGTCACAGCCAATAAACAAAAATTAATGGAAGGTCGTGACCTGTCCCTGACTTTTACTAAAAAAAAACCCCTGACAAAATGGGAATCTCTGGGGTCCACCTGCTGCCCATGAGCTTCAGGGTTCTCCCGTGGTGGCTAGGAGCTGAAGCAGAAAATGTCAGAGGTCTCTGGAAATCATGTATTCTGTGACTTCCACGACCTCTGTGACACAATTTTAGCCTCAATTATGGCTTGTTAAATTATTTTCTTTTAAAATTACTTCAAAGGATGAAGTACTGGAGCTGTTGTAGGAGAAAAACTTCTGATTTTAATACATTTTTGTCTCAAGAAGGCTGTACAACGGGAACACACGTGTGGACTAAAAAGGATGCTGTAAGTAGTACTAACTTTGCCATTGGTAATTGGTTACTTAACTTCCCAGTCATTAAGAAAGTATGGTGCTGGGCTGAATTCCAGCTTTAGTTAAACAAAGACTAATAATTCCCCTACCTCCAGAATTATACAATTTCTCTAATATGTGTTGATGGGAGCAGTTTAATGAGTTTAATAATGGAACCAAAACTAATCTGAGTGAAATACTGTACTTGTCTGTGTACAACCACACCTTTTATTGAAACATATATTGTGAAATAACAAAATAAAATAAACCCACTGTTTGTACGCATTGTCATATTTCTAAACAATTCTGTAAGGCTTTTTTAGGTGATAGACTTCCCAACCCAACACTTATAAATGTTACGCATATGCTAACAAAGAGCCCCAGAAAAATTTCACAGAGAAACATCTTCCTAAAACTAGGACTAGAATACATTTAAATAGACTAAAATAATCTTGCTTGCCAAAATCTCATTCACACTGGATAAGCCACAGAAATAGTGAGTGTTCTAGGGCTGGGACTGGTGGCAATATTACTTTTCTGTCCTCTCCAAACACCATTCTTACACTGGGTTTTATTTTGTTCTAAAGCATAGTGCGTTGCTTGGTTTGATTATTTGTATGTTAGGACACAGAGTGTGCTTTTTGCTTATAGCTATTCCATAGCAGAGCTGGGAATAAACCAGACAGGTTAGTATGGACTTGTATTTTCCTTTGTTTTACTTATGGTAATATTTGAAGAAGTTGGGTGAGGATGCTACAAGACTAGAGTGGTGTTACACTATGAAACAATGTAGCTGAGCACTTTCAAATTTAGAAATACTATCTGGTCATGTTCTGCTCTTAGATGTGTATACTCAACTCCAGTGTCAATATCTTCTCTGCTCTTGATCTACAAAATAAGATCCATACAGTAAATGTAGCATTGTTAAAAGGAAGAAAAGAGGTGTACCTAGGTGCTATCTCTTCCCTTAGTCATTTTTTCACCCCAAGCCCACTTAATCTCTTGGGAACACAGAATTCTTGTCAGTTCTCTGTCACTTCCTGATTGTAACTGTATTCCTCAGTTTTTCTTGAAGTAGAAAAATGAGGATAAAAGGACTTGAGTGCGTGTGCAAGGGGGGTGGAGAAATCCCTTTAAAAGGAAAAAGTTAAACCTCATTTTTAGGTGTAGCAACTTCACTAAAATAGCTGGCTCCTAGCCCACGGGGCTAGTAGCAAAATCATGTGTTTCATGGCAGTCTGTATTCCCAGCTGGCTGGTCTCTGCTGTGGGGGTGGCTGAAATGCTGTCACTAATGCTTTCATACAGCCTAGCAACTGCCTCACTGGGCCAACCACAGTATATTAGCTGTACTAGGTGCTCTAGTCAAGATAGCTATGTTGCAATCCACTGGTCTGCAGTGCTGTGCTCAAACTTCTTTCCTCTTTCTTACACTTTGCTGGAAGTACCATTACCTGGGAGTCTAGCATACTCTTTCTCTTCTTTAACTTCACCCACTCACAAAACAAGAAAGATGGGCCCCTGGGAAAACCTTGGTTTGTTTCCCACCTGGTACCTCTTTCCACATTCCATCTCTCCCTAGGTAACTCTGTTTTTATTTCTTTAGCAAAGGTGTTGGGAGTCTGGTTTCCTTTCCTTCTGTCTAGAACAGAAAGTACCAAATTCAGGGAGCCCAGAGATTTTTTTTTTGTTGTTTTTTGTTTTTCTGTCATGCCATTGAATGGATTTAGTCTTTCCTTCTTCCTGGATACTCCTTTTTTAGTGTGTGACTTTCCTCCTTCCTTCCCTTGTCCCGTTCTCTGTACTCTTCCCACCAGAGGCCACTGTGGAGTGTTCTGTGACGTATTTGTTACAGCAGTAATATGAAGCCCTCTCTCCAGTGCCCTTTTACTGCCCGGTTCAAGTTTAGATAACAGGCTGTCCAGTCAATTACTGAGAGATTTTTCTCATTCCCACTAATACTTCCTTCAAGCATTAGAAAGGGTATGAATCTGAGCATCTGATCTTGCACAATTGGTACTTCATAGATGGTATAAAAAAATCCTCTTCAGCTGGCCTCTGCAAATTCCCAATCTAGGAGATATGCCAATAGTATAGCTTGAACTGGTGGAGCGTTCTAGTAGTAGTGCCCATTGGAATGCTCTTGTATCTCTTTGGCTCTGACCTTCTAGAGGGTGGGGCTATATAAGGGATGGGGGTTGTAGTCTATTAGAAAGTTTTAATTCATGTCACTTCTATTTTGCTGGATGGGATGCCTCCCTAATGTTATAGGATGGAGATACTTGACAAGGAAAAACTATATACTAGGATAGTTTTTCTTCACCTGTCATACCTTCCACCCCATTCTATTATCCTTGCTTTTGTATATACATCTTTTATATCTCTAGTATTAAGTTTTGAGTCTGCTTGTCCAATGATAGAGTTAAGAAGTGGCTCCTTGCTAAAGAGATTTCTCCACTGAGATTTTTTTACTTTTGCCTAGAAGGTAGGTCTATAATCCTTTCTGTATGGAATCTTGATTTGTAGGATGGGAGAAGGACCCTCAAACACTTACCATTATGTAATTTTTCCTTAACGTTAGTAGGGTTCCTGCGCACATATCTAAATGCAGAATTTAATCCTGTACTAGTTATATTTATTCTCATTAAAATGTTGTCCTACATGACAATTTTCAGAGCAATTTTTTAAAAATGTATCCTGAATGTAGAGTTCCAATACTGTATTTTTCCAAAATACACCTTTGTTTTGTAGGGGAAAAAAGTAGTTCCATGTAGGCATGATTGGCATCAAACTGGAGGTGAAGTGACTATTTCAATATATGCGAAAAATTCACTTCCTGAACTTAGCCATGTAGAAGCAAATAGCACAATGGTGAGTATCTTTGTTTTATTTTAAATAAATATTCCCTGTTTTTCTAAGCTTGATGTTTAAATATAGCAAAATATAAATCGCTTGGATGTACTCTTGTGCATAAATGTTAAAACACAATCTTTTTGCTCTTTTAAGGAAACAAGTAAAATGTGGTAACAGTCTTCTTCTGTGAGACATAATTCTTTTTGACAGTTTCAGTCTTGGTAGACTTACAAGATCCTAAGCATTTTGTGCCTTTTTGTTCCTTTAGACAAACTTCTTAAATATAAATCTTTACAAAACATCTTTAAAAAGCTTACATAATTTTATTACCAAAATATTACCAAAATATTTTCTAAATTTATATTCTAGGTTTTTAAAAGTAAGCAGACTCTCTCTTATGATATGTAGCTTCACAGATACTGCGTTGTGGTGCAGATTTTTACAATGAAATATTCTAATTTGTGATTCCATAAATACACATTTTGGAAAATTGTATTGCCTAATAGCGGCATCATCGTTGATATCTTCTTCTACAGGTACATCATGTTGCCACACGTGGCTCTGATCCTGCATCAGGAGCCATTTGCGCAGACCTCTGTTTGTGTGGAGTCCTGGTGACTTCAGATATGTAGGATTAGGGTCCTAATGTCATACTTTTATTTTAAACTTAGTCACTTGACATTAATAAATCTCTTCTGTATTTTTTCTTGTTTAGCTAAATATCCATATTATATTTGAAGGAGATAAAGAATTTGATCACAGTGTGAAATTGTGGGGAGTAAGTATAACAACCTTGAATGTTTTGTTAAAACTTTTACTCAGTTTCACCCTCAGTCAAAGCTTTTTTCAGAATAGAATAGTTTTGTTTTTTTCTAAAACTACCACACTTCTACAGGTCTGGATTAACAAAAGAAGTTCATTTGTGCAGGATTTACCAGTCTAAGCATAATTGCAATATGAGTATTGCAGAAAATTTCTAGGGCCAGACCTTTCCAAGTATAGTTGCATATAATTGCATATGCCAAACTTGTGCGTGCATACATACAGTAGCATGCGTATTCTACATACATATGCATGCCAGTTTCTCTCTTCACGGCTCAGAGGAGGGGTTCTCAATAGATGGACCACGGGTCAAATCTGGACCGTCAAATGCTTTTGAATAGTTTACATAAAAAAAAAAAGAAGAAAACAATAATGATTATATTTTCTCTGGAGTTTGAACTTTGGCTATACCTTGACGAAGAAATTTGGACCTTGAGAAAAAATAATCGATTGCCCCGGCTTAGAGTGTAGGAAAGGGCTGAGGCTGCACAACTTTCCCCGGAACCCAGAGGCAACTCCACTTTAAAAGCTGATCTCTCCCTCCAGTGGACCGCTTCCTGGGACCTCGGGGGCAACTATGTTTTATAGAATTACTCAGTTTTTTTAATTTTGCAAATATTTGGGGATGGAACAGTCCTAGGTAAATTCCATCCTATATTGTTGCCAGATCCAAACATTTGGAGACTGCAAAACTCCCATAATGCGTGCTGAGCAGATAGTAATTATTTACATATTTCCAACAGTCTTATTCCTAAATTTAAGTGAAACATACTTGTTCTATTCCAGGTAATTGATGTGAAGAGGAGTTATGTAAACATGACAGCTACGAAGATTGAGCTCACTATGAGGAAAGCAGAGCCCATGTTATGGGCAAGCCTTGAACTACCAATACCTAAAACGCAGCAAAAACAAAATGAAGATATTACAGATCAAGAATGAATCCTAAAGATATACAGACTGTTTCCTGATTGTGAAAGTGGTGACTTGCTACTGTAATGCATTTCCTTTTAAGACTATTTTATATACGATCGCTTTTTACAATACATCTTGCATTCCGGATCAGGCCAAGCACTCCGTTATGTAAAAACCTAGTGCTTGCCCTGATCTGGAATGCAAGATGTATTGTAAATTTATTGGAGCTCAGTCCACACTGTGCATTAACATTTCAAGCATCGTATTTGGACTGGAGCTACCAGAGTAATCGATGTTAGACTACATACGGTTTGCTATATATCTTCTTGTAATAAGGATACAAGATACGAGTCTATGGAATGATTAGCATGATTCCCATGGTCTAGAATAAAAAAATTTGTTATTCAAACATCAGTAATAAATCCAGAAAGAAAGTAGGTGCTACTCAGATTCTTTCCTTTTGTCTTGTGAAAGTGACAATAATGGCTGCATATTCCACTTCTCAGTGATGAGATCACTAGTTTTTGACAGGTTTCAGAGTAGCAGCCGTGTTAGTCTGTATCCGCAAAAAGAAGAACAGGAGTAC